TATCGATGTGGTGAAGGAGTATGCCGAGGTGTTCCCTGACGAGGTGCCTGGGTTGCCTCCTGTTAGGGAGATGGAGTTCAACATTGACTTGGTTCCAGGTGCGGGACCAGTGTCAGTAGCTCCCTATAGGATGGCTCCTGCTAAGCTGGTTGAGCTAAAGGGTCAATTGGAGGACTTGTTGGAAAAGCAGTTGGTGCGGCCGAGTGTTTCGCCGTGGGGTGCTCCTGTGTTGTTGGTAAAGAAGAAGGATGGGGGTAGTCGACTGTGTGTGGATTATCGGCAGCTGAACAAATTGACCATTAAGAACAAATATCCACTTCCCCGGATAGATGACTTAATGGATCAACTGAGGGGCATGTCGGTGTTTTCTAAGATTGACTTGAGGTCAGGATATCACCAAATTAGGGTGAAAGAGAGTGACATACCGAAGACCGCTTTCAGGACTAGGTATGGCCACTATGAATATGTTGTGATGTCGTTCGGTGTGACCAACGCCCCCGCAGTGTTCATGGACTACATGAACAGGACCTTCCGGCCGTTTTTGGATAAATTCGTGGTAGTGTTTATTGACGATATCTTGATCTATTCGAAAACCCCGGAGGAGCATGGAGAGCACTTGAGGACAGTGTTAGAGATCTTGAAAGCAAAGCAGCTGTATGCTAAGCTTTCAAAATGCGAGTTCTGGTTGGGGGAGGTGAAGTTCTTGGGCCACGTGATTTCAGCTGAGGGGATTGCTGTTGATCCGGCTAAGGTGGAGTTGGTGTTGCAGTGGGAGCGCCCGAGGACTGTCATGGATATACGGAGATCGCTACTAATTGACTAATTTTTCTTAGTAATAAGTCTTTGAAGTCTTTTACCTACATTGACAATCTATTGGTAAAAGAACTTTAAGTTGTATTGAGTTTTACCTACACCAAATAAAAGTAGGTATAGATTTTTGAGTTATACCTACATTAAAGATTTGTAGGTAAATTTTTTTTTATAGTTTTACCTACACTAATTCAGGTTTATAGGTAAAAGTGTCTGTAGGCATAGGTTATTTTTTTTGTAGTGTTATTCCTATACTAGTGCAAAATGTACTTAGTCTTTAGATTTGACAGCTTTTTATTACCAAAGTTAATACCACATATAAATGGCTCCATGATAAGGAATGTGATGAGGGATTTGTTGGTTGGACGTGGATCTGAAAGATGCAGTTACTGACAAATATACAATTCTTCTTATGGTGGGTCTACCATCTTGCATTACTAGTATATAATGTTATCGTGAATAGAGTGAGAAATACTTTTGTTTTTTGTCCATGTCGCCTATTAGTGCCAAAAACTTTATTGCATTATTTGTTTACATGCCTACACGTGAAAACCTTTTGGTCTATATGTGGCTATGCTTAGCTACAAGTCCTGATTGAGTCTGATTGGTCTTGCCTTACATGACTGCGAGAATTTATTAGTCTACATGGAAGCTTGATTCCCATAATCATGTGGTAGTGCACTCGGAATAGGCTAGTGCTCGAACGAAAGGAATGGTCATGCATGGAAGTGTATCACAAGGTAGTCTATTTAAGATATAACACAAAGCACGCTTTCAATTGGTGTCTCTCCTAGCCTACACACAACATTTTGGTGGCACGAACCTTTCCTCACTACTAGAAAGTTACTATTTAACGTCGTCAATTCTACATCGGTTCAGGTAAAATCAATGTAGAAATTAAATGCGGTCATATTTACATTGGTTATGACTGGAACCGATGTAAATATTGAGTGTACTACATCGTTTTTAGTAAAATCTATGTAGTATTGAATACGCGGTGACAATTTTGTAAATAATTATAATAAATCTACATCGGTTCACCTAGTAACTGATGTAATATTGAGAAGCTGACATACATGAACCCTCGTCTCCTCTTATCCAAACCCTAACCTCATTCTTCTTCCCCCTCGCTCTCACTACTACTGCAGGCCAAGTTCGCGGAGGAGGTCGACCAGGAAGCGGAGAGAGCTCTTGAAGAGCGCCTCATCGCCAATCCCGATGACGACAACAACCTGAAAATCGCTGAGGAGATGGGCACCGTGAAGCACCTGGGCGAGGGCGCGAACGACGGCTACAACTTGAAAATCGCGGCTTCGACGGTCCTAGACGGCGTGCACCTCGGCGACAGCATCGCCATTAACGGCACGTGTCTAACAGCGACGGAGTTCGACCTGAAAGTTTCGGACTCTTCGGTGGGGCTGGCGCCGGAGACGCTGCGGAAGACGTCGCTGTCAGAGCTGTCGGTGGGGTCGGCGGTGAACTTGGAGAGGGTAGTGACGCCAGCGAGCCGCATGGGGGAGCACTTCGTGCAGGGTCACGTGGACGGCACGAGGGTGATTGTGTCGATGGTGCCGAAAAAGGAGTCGCTTTGGGTGAAGGTTAGGGCTAAAAAGGGGATTTTGAAGTACGTTGTGCCTAAGGGGTTTATCGCTGTGGATGGGACTAGTTTGACTGTGGTGGATGTGTTTGATGACGAGGGGTGTTTCAATTTCATGTTGGTGGCTTACACTCAACAGCATGTGGTGATTCCTCTCAAGAAGGTTGGGGATAAGGTAAACCTTGAGATGGATATTCTCGGCAAGTATGTGGAGAGGCTTCTTGGTAGTGGTTTTGTTTCCTCTTATGCTTCGTGTGGAGGCCTTCCACGACCTCGTGATGGCGACTTCAAAGTCCAACATGAGCGTTGTCGAGGAGAGTGGAGGAGGTGCTTGAGGCGTGTAAGAAGCAAAATAGGGATTCCTAATCTACATCGGTTTTGAGAATCGATGTAGAAATCTATATATTTTTTACATTGCTCTATTCTACATCGGTTTTAGAACCGATGTAGATGGCTTCACGGGAACGATATAAAAAACGTATGTTGTAGTAGTGCCTCCTCAGGATTTTGTTGCACTCAATGTAGATGGCAACATACAAGGAGATACTAAAACGGTTGGGTTTTGAGGACTTGGTCGTGATTGATAAGGTAGATATCTATTTGGCTTTCATGAGAAAGCAATTTGGGTGAATATCCTATATGCAAAGATCATGCCTTTGTTGCAAGGATTATAGTTGTGTTGGAGCTTAGGATTCAAAAGGTTTATTACTTTTTACATTCATTGTGGGTAGTAAACATGGTAAAAGATGAGGTTGTGACCTATCATCGATTTGCAAATGAAATTGTCTTTATAAGCAACTGTTGGCTAAAGATTGGGTGTGCACTGTGAGACATGTGTTCTGGTTACTATCGGAGGTTCATTGAAGGGTTCTCTAAGATAGTAGCGCCTCTGACCCAGCTAACTAGGAAGGAGCAGCCATTCATTTGGACTGATGCATGTGAGCAAAGTTTTGTTGAGCTGAAAAGAAGGCTAACCACTTCTCCTGTGCTGGTGTTGCCGGATTCTGGTGAGCCTTTTGACGTGTACTGTGATGCTTCTCATCAGGGTCTGGGGTGTGTGCTGATGCAAAACGGGAGAGTGGTGGCATATGCTTCAAGGCAACTGAAGATTCATGAGAGGAACTATCCCACTCATGACTTAGAGTTAGTAGCTGTGGTGTTTGCCTTGAAGATCTGGAGGCATTACTTATATGGTGCTCGGTTCAGTGTCTTCAGTGATCACAAGAGTCTAAAGTACTTGTTTGATCAGAAGGAGCTGAACATGAGGCAGAGGCGGTGGATAGAGTTTCTGAAGGATTATGATTTTCAGTTGATGTATCATCCGGGCAAGGCCAATGTGGTGGCAGATGCACTAAGTAGGAAATCCATCCACATATCGGGTATGATGCTTAGAGAGCTGGAGCTGGTCGAGGAGTTCAGAGATTTGAATCTCTGTGTGGAGTTAGCTCAGGATCACATTAGTTGTGGGGCAGTTACCATAACTAATGAGTTCTTGAGGCAGGTTGGACTCAAACAGTTGCAGGATGAGGAGTTGGTGAGACTTCTTGGTTTGCTGGGTACCGAGAAAGCTGCTGGTTTTGAGCTGGGAGAAGATGGGATCTTGAGGTTCAGAGGCAGGATTTGCCTACCTCAGGATGCTGAGCTGAGGAGAGCTGTATTGGAAGAAGGCCACAAAAGTAGACTTAGTATACACCCGGGTATGACTAAGATGTACCAAGACCTCAGGAAGAATTTCTGGTGGTCTGGAATGAAGAGGGAGATCCCGGAGTATGTGGCGGCCTGTCTGACCTGTCAGAAGGCAAAGGTAGAACATCAGAAGCCGAGTGGGTTGATGCAACAGATAGAGATTCCGGAATGGAAGTGGGATAATATCACTATGGATTTTGTTGTTGGGTTGCCTAGGTCAGCTAGGAATAGTGATGCTATCTGGGTAATTGTTGATCGGTTGACCAAGTGTGCACATTTCTTGCCTATTAACATCAAGTGGTCCTTGGAGAAGCTGACTCAGTTGTATGTAAAGGAGCTAGTACGGTTGCACGGGGTACCTTCTAGTATTATCTCCGACCGAGATCCAAGGTTCACTTCCCGATTTTGGCAGAGTCTACATCGGGCCTTAGGTTAGGCTTTTTGCTGTGTTAGCTCTGTGCTGTGATGTTTTGTTGTGATGTCTGCTGTGTTGAAATTGCTGTGATGATTTGCTGTGCTATTGATTTTTGTGTGGTTTAGTTGTTGTTTACTAAAGAAGCTGTTACTTTTGTAGACGATGACTCGGACCAACGAGCAGATAGCCCGTGCCATTGAGATGATGGCCATGGCTATGCAACAGCAAAATGCCTATTTTGCTAGGATGGAGGCAGAGAGAGCTGCAACTGGTGCAGCAAGACCTGTAGGGTCACAAATGTACAAGTGAAGCCGAACTTGACATTTGAGAAGTTGCCAGTAGCTGTGGTGGATCATAAGCTGAAGGAGCCGAGGGGCAAGTCCATTGTTCTGGTGAAAGTATTATGGGATGCAGTTACTGGTGAGGCTACTTGGGAGGTTGAGCAGCAGTGTCGGGAGCGTTACCCGTTTCTATTTCCAAGTAAGTCTGTTTTCAGGGACGAAAACTCTTGTTGTTGGGGAGATTGTGAGACCCTACCCTTAGCTGACCACACTCCCCCTCCCAACTCTCACTCTAACTCTCCCTTTCACTCTCTTTTCTTCCTCCATTCTCATTTGGGCTGATTTCACTTTGGTTTCTTGGATTCAAGGTGGTAGTGTGGAGTGATTAAGGTTGCTAGCTGAACATTTGGGGGTTCCTCTTCTTCTCCGACTCTTCTCTCTTCTCCGTTC